CAGCTAACACAACCCACTCAGAGTCCAGCTTGACTATATGCAGCCACCAGAAAATGTATATCTCAGATAAACTGTTCAACAGGAGTGCCAAGGGGTGTCTGTGGGGATTATTGTTGTAAAAGCGAATGTTTCAGAACAGTTTGAATATCTTTTAGTAAATAAATTAAATAGAACGTTGAATAAATGCCATTTATACAGAAGTTTGACATATAAAAACTGCACAGCAAACTCTCTAAAGATGCACATGCAGATAAACTGCAGATATATACAACAAAATACAGCTGCCCATGAGGACCAGAATGAGAAAGGAGAATCAGACAGGAGATTAAAGGAACGAAAAAAGACGGAATCATGACATATGTGTGTGATGTTTATTTATTGAGACAAGGTCTTCCTGTGTAATTCCGACTGGCCTGGACCTCACAGAGATCCACATGCCTCTGCCTCTTGAATGCTGAGATTAAAGGCGTGTGCCACCGTGTCTAGCCTTTGAACAGCTTCGGGAGAGCACCAACGTATTTAAGTTTGCCCATTGCAAGTGGTGGGTATTCTATGATTCAATTTTCTGATTTATTTCATGGGCATTTCTCTTCTTCTTTATTTCAGACCCTTTAAAACTGGCTAAATAAAGCAAGAGGCCCAAGTTCATCTCAGTGCTGGTTGGGTGTCACATGCTGGCCCTTCCTAAGGCAGGCTTCCCTCTTCCTAGCAAGCAAACGAGTGACACAATGTTGCAGCTTCTTCAAACAAAATGTCTACACCAGCACTGGCTCTAGTTTGATTTCTGATTAAATTGTTTGGGGTAGAAAAAAAGACAATTACTGGGAGACCAGGACTTCAGAGCTCAACAAGAAAGATGCTCAGCTAAATACAGAGTGCAAGGTTTATCTTGTTCGTTCCTTGACTCTCACCTCATCATGACACCACAGCCTTTCCCACCCATCTGTCCACCAACTGTGGAGGCGGGAATGAGACAATTCAGCTCTTCCGGCTGCTCCCTCTTAGGTCAGTCCTTGAAGGAGACCTGACCCTTCATTCCACCACCACCCCCATCCCTGCCCCCGCTGGCAAGTACACTGTGCTTGGAACATGTGTGCAACAGTTTTCTGGGCTGGAAATTCCTGGCATTTTAAACACACCAGTGTTAATCACAGCAGGGCAGTTTTCCCCTCCATTCCGGCAGGTTCATCTGCTTCCGTTCCAGTGTGTTGTTTGTTTCTTAAGTCCACTCCTCCTTCATCAAAGACTGCTTTCTTCACTTCATGCTTTACGGCTTTGGTGAGATCATCAATTCATCTGTACCCTAACCTCCCCTGCTTTGCTGCTCAGCACATCCATCCCATTGGCATGAGGCCTCTCTCCAGGAGGTCATTCACAGATGTTTGAGAGTAAAACATAGGTGATAACCTTAGCAATGGAATCGGTGGCCCTAGGACTATTATTCTTAGTTACCTGAAGGAGGTGCCTACCAGTCCCCATGTAGACTGGGCCTTTTATTCCTTTCCTGCTTTTCTTTCAGGAGAGAATGGAAGGCTTTAAAACCACTTATGGAGCTATGACTGAAGGTAAGAAAGCCTGAACTTGGTAAAGAGCTTGGGAATAAGAGCGTCACCATCCCCTCCTCCACGTGCCCCACTCCAACACCAGGGCAGATGCCATGTGAGCCTGAGGAAGAGAAAGGCAACTATTTGCTCTATTCTGTCTCTCCTGCCTGAGCCACTATTGTTACACACACACACACACACACACACACACACACACACACACACACACACACACTCTACTGTTAGGCTGTCCCTGGGCACAATGTGAGGAATGTAGATTTAACAACTCAGAATTAGCAGGGTCTGCAACCGACATACAACAGGGTGTCTCTTCCCTTGTCTCCTCTCAGCTACAGAAAGAAAAATCCCCCAAGACAGCATGGAAGGAATGGAATGTTACCTTTAGGCGCCTACACCACACTTAGAATGCCCCTGAGGTAGTTCCAGGTCCTCCCACTTCAGTACTGAAGATGTGAGCTCTTCACTCCACATTGTCCCTCCAGCATCACATTCACTGTAAGTCCCTGAACTCACCCAGCCAAACAGGTGATCTTTCCAACACATGCACATCCAAAGCGCTTCTTCCATCCCTCTGCCACCCACTGTGGTGTCACCTCCCAGACCTTACCCCGACATAACTGCCACTTTAACTGCAAGCCCCCTGCATCTCAGGTTCAAGGCCCTGCTCTCCCTCCCAGAACATTCCGTTGCCCTGGGGCTGGGGGTTGAGGGGTTCACCACAGCTCCACCACCTGAAACTCTTTTACTCTCAAGGGTCAGGGTGCTTGTGCTGAGTGCATCTACATAGTGCGTCTGGAGAATGTGAGAGACGTGACTATTTTCTCATTCACGACTCCTCATCCCCGCCTCCTTCCAAACTCATGTTTATTCACAACCAGTTCTCTGTGGAGCTTCCCTGAGCATCCTCCAGGAAAGACCATGGAGGTCACTTTTCTTCAGAAATGACACATTTGCCATGATCTAGGTGAAGTGCTTACAGCACCTCCTTACTGTGGTAGTTCTGACCTCTGCCTGTGTGTCCAGGCATGTGTTCCCAGCAAGGGCTTCAGCCAACCCAAGAATCACCTAACAAAGCAATTGTTTGGGAGTATTTAAACAGTGCTCACTTTTCTAAGAAGGGCTCCCATACCCTTTGTGAGCTACTCATGAGGCTTGATAACCTAAAAGCCAGGAAAAAAAAACAAAAAAAAAAAACCTTCTTTCTGTCACAGGGGAAGTAAAAGATAACTGGTCTGCAGAGTCTTGCTCTTTGAGGATCCTCCTGGTGGGCAAATCTGGCAGCGGGAAAAGCGCCACAGGGAACAGCATCCTCTGCCGACCAGCATTTGTGTCCAAGTTAGGAGCTCAGTCAGTGACCAGGACCTGCCAGAGAGAGACAGGCACATGGAACGGGAGGACCATCCTGGTGGTGGACACACCCTCCATCTTTGAGTCAAAGGCCCAAGAGATGTACAAGGACATCGGAGACTGCTACCAGCTGTGTGCCCCAGGGCCCCATGTGCTGTTGCTGGTGACCCAGCTGGGGCGCTTCACGGCTCAGGACACCATGGCAGTGAGGAGGGTGAAGGAGATATTTGGGGCAGGGGCCATGAAGCACATGATCGTCCTCTTCACCCATAAGGAAGATCTAGCTGATGAGTCCTTGGATGATTATGTGGCCCACACGGACAATCAAAACCTTCAGCGCCTTGTCCAGGAGTGTGGAAGGAGGTACTGTGCCTTCAACAACCGGACCACAGGGGCGGAGCAGCGGGGGCAGCTGGTGGAGCTCATGGCCCTGGTAGAGCATCTGGAGCAGGAATGTAAGGATCTTTCTACAGCAATGGCCTCTTCCTTGATGCCCATGTTCTGAACCAAGGAGAACACAGGGACTACCAGGAAGCCCACAGGCAGTACCTGGCTAAGGTGAGACAGCAGGTGGAGAAGCACAGGCAGGCGCTGAAGGAGGAGGAAAGTAATGGGGTGTGCAAGGCATTTCACAGAGTCAAAATGTGGATGGCTTCCCACGTTGCAGTATCCGCTTTCCTTATTATATGTGGTTTGATTTTTCTTGCCATTTTAATTAACTTGTGTATTAATCGGGGGAACTAAGAATTTTCAGGTAATAGCTGCGGTTTGCTTCCACCTCCTCATCAGGGTTCACCATCTGTAGTGGGGTGCTTCATCCGTAGTGGGATAATTCACTTTTCTCCCAATGTCACTCTTTTTTGACTTACATCAGACATGAATTTTCCGACAAGTAAATAAAACCTGAAATAAACATGTATTTCTCTCTCTTTTTGTGACTTATTTATATTTTTATGTGTATGAATGTTTTACCTGCTAAGTGTGCCTGTGTCGACATGCAATGTCTGTGGAGGCCAGAAGAGGGCAGCAGAGCTCCTGTATCTGGAGTTACAGATGGTTGTTATCCTCCATGTGGGTGCTGGGAATTGCACCTGGGTCCTCTGGAACAGCAGCCAGTGTTCTTAGTCACTAAGCCGTCTTGTCTCTCCAGCCCCTCTATTTTTTATTTTCAATTTTGAGGATAAATAATAAATTAGGTGGCTATCGTTTGGAACGATCTGAGAGCTTGCAAGAAGGAAGGTGTGTAGACTGTGAGGCAGTGAGTGTGGCTCCCCTGGGGCCCACTCTCTACAGATGTCAAGAGGAGAAAGGCAGTGTTTGCAAAGCTGGGAGCAGAATCTTAATTCATTCATAAGCATACCCTGCCCTAAATGTAGGCTGCAAAAGACAGATCTTGATCACTTCTCCACCACTAAGAAAGGAAGGACTAGGACAGTGTGCATGAAGCAGTGGGCTCTGGAGGGGATGGAGCTGGACATGAGCAGAGAACTGAGTTCACAGCAACGCTTTGGCTCTCAATCCAAGGAAAGCAGAGTCGGCAGTCAGGAAACACAGGAACCAGAAAGTCTTGCATCCTTGGACGATTACGTGACCCACACAGGCATTCACAACCTATGAGATTTGGTCCAGGAGTGCAGGAGGAGGTACTATGCCTCCAACAACCAGACCACAAGGGAGGAGGAGCAGGGACAAGTGACAGAGCTCGTGATCCTGGTGGAGATGCTGGAGAAGAGTGTGAGGGCTCCTTCCACAGCGATCGCCTCCCTCTTCCTCCATGTCCAGGCGCTGCCTGGGTACAGTGACTGCCAGGAAGCCTACAGGTACTCAAAGGTCAGATAGTGACTATCTTGTGCTCGAGAGGTTGTAAAGTGAACATCATAGCCACTCAAATGCCCCTGTAAGCAAAAGCCACCATGCCCTCCTCATGAAACTTGCTGAGCACTGAATTTTGAATTACATGAAATTAATTTTCATGTGTGAAGGTAGAAAATTATTTTTCTTCTAACTTCTTCAGTCATTAACAAAAAGGAAAACCAGGCTGGGGAGATGACTCCGTGGATAAAAAGTGCTGGTTCTACAAACGCAGGGCCCAGAGCTCAGATCCCCAGCATCCATGTAAATGCCCAGCACAGTGGCACATCTGTAACTGGGTTACTGGGGAGAAGGGGAGGAGACAGGCCTTTCCCAGGGGCTCTCTGACCTGCCAGTTGGTCTGAAATGGCAAGCACCAAGTTCAGAGAGAAAAGTACCTTAGAATAAAGCTAACCAAGAAAGTGAAAGAGCTCTACGCTGAAAATAGTAAAACACTAAAGAAAGAATTTGAAGACGAATTAGCACTGTGAGAATGTCTATGCTACCAAAATCAACCTACAGATTCCATGCACTCGTCAACAAAATTCCAGGGTTATTCCTCACAGAACTAGAAAAAACAAATTTAATGTATATGGAAGCACAAAAGATCTCACATATGCAAAGTATTCCTGAGCAAAATATGAATGCTGGAGGTATCACCGCATCTAATTTCAAATTATATTGCAGAGACATAGTAGCAAAAACGGTGTGATATTTGCACAAAAGCACAATTGATGGGATGGCTTAGAGGGCCCGGACATAAACCCACACAGCTACAGCCACTTATTTTATAAAGGTGCAAAATTATACATTGGATAGAAAACAGCATATTCAACAAATAGTGATGGAAAACTGGGTATGCTCATGTACAAAAATGAAGTTAGATCTCTCTGCTCACCCTGTTACAAATCAATTCCAACTGGATCAAAGACCTTGAAGTATGACTTGAAACTCTGAAACTGTTAGAGGAAAAGGTAAGGAAAATACTGAAATATATGGGTAAGGAGGCTCTAGAAAAGATTCCAGTCACTCCAGAAATAATTCCAACAACTGACAAAAGGGATTTCATGAAATTAAAAATGCTTTTGTACTGTAAAGGAAACAACTAATTGAGTGAAAAGACAGTTTACAGAAAGGGAAAAAAGTGTTTGCTAGCTATATGTCTGATACAGGATTAATATCTAGATGTACCCAAAACTCAAAATGCTTAAAAACAAGGACTCAACAACCCAGCAAATAAATGGGCTAATGAACAGATATTTCTCAAATGATAAACTACAAATGACCAACAATCATATGAAAAATGTTATTCATCACTAACCATCAGAGAAATGAAAATTAAAACCACCTTGAGGAGTTGGAGAAACGGCTCAGAGGGTAAGAACACACACTGCTCTTTTAGAGGGCTAGAGTTTATTTCCTAGCACCCACATCAGGCAGCACACATTGCCTATAAATCCAGCTCTAGGGAATCTATATCTGGACACACACACACACACACACACACACACACATACACACACACACACTAAATAATAAAATAAATCTTTTTTAAAAAGCCTACCTTGAAATTCTACTTCACCTCAGCCAGAATATCAGCAATTAAGAAAACAAATAACAGGGCTCAGCAGTTAAGAGCACTGACTGCTCTTGCAGAGGACCTGGGTTTGATTCCCAGCACCCACATGGCGGCTACGAACCGTCCTTAATTCCAGTTCCAGGGGAATCCAAAGCCCTCTTCTGACCTCCTCAGCATTGCATGACACTGGTGCACTCACATACATGCAGGCAATACACTCATACACATACACATAAAAATAATACATTTTTTTAGAAGAAGCATTTCATTACAGCTTTAACATACTCAATAACAATTTCCAGAGCAAAGATACATCTCTTTCAAAAGTGGCTGTAAATATTTTTAGGTTCACAGTTGAATTAATACAGTTATACAATATTGAACTCAGTATAAACCCTGTAAGACATAAAATTGAATGAGTTTTTAACCTTCAAAAAAGATCTCCATTTCATTTTAAAATATACTGTTTCTTACAGAAAGACTCATTGTTTTTGCTAATAAAAGAAAACAAATAACAAATGCTAGCAAGAAGTCAGAGATTTGGTTCATAGGAATGTAAACTAGTCTGGCCACTACAGGAATGAGTGTGAAGCTTCTTTTAAAACCTGAAAGTACCATATGAATCCTATTTGCTTCAAAAACAACTGGCCTGGCAAGATACGCCCTCTGGTGCAATAGCAGCATGAATATTGTGGGAGTGACCAATCGCTTTCTAATGGGATTTAAGGTCTAGTTCAGAAGCACAGCCCATTCCTGACATTGGTATCAGGCTTAGGAACAGGCCCTAGGCCCTAGGGGAGAGCCTAATACTATTATTCTGCTAAATAGATAAGGTGTTAAACTGAGTCCTAATGACTTACTGTTATATTCATAGATTAATGCATCTCTCAGCTCTCAGCAGAGAAGCTCTCTTACACAGCAGATGGTGGTTAACACAGAAGCTCACAGCTGGCCAATATGCAGAGAACAAGAGGCTGCAGACTGCTCAGCCCTGATTAGTAGACCTATTTCAAGCTTCTGCTCCCAAGGCTCAGGGATCATGGTGGAAGATGGGATGGAAAGATTATAAAATCCAGACATGGTGGATGACCACAAGGAAACAAGGTTTTCCAGATAGCTTGGAAGTTACTCAAACTCACAGCAATGACGGCATGTACAACACTCGTGTACGCTCAAGCCAGATAAAATCCTGACGTAGACAAGGATAAAAAACCCAACCCTGCTTGAGGAACTATTGGAAACCAATAGCTGCTGGGAAGGGGAGAGTCAGTCTCTTTTAAGGGTGTGACTCTTGGTAAATTAGCCAGGCTCCAGTGGATGAACCCACACCAAAGGACATTTGGGGACACAAATGTAACTCTATAGGCCTTTATAAATAGGGAAGGGGATTTAAATATGATCACAATAAATTTCATGGAATTTGCAAAAATCCAATAAAAAAGAAATAGACATATAAAGAAACTAAAATTATGGGCTAGAGAGATGGCTCTGAAGTTAAGAACACTGGCTGATCTTGTAGAGGATCTGGGTTCACTTCCCCGCACCCACATGGCAGCTAACAACCATCCATAACTCCAGTTTCAGGAGATCCAATACCCTCTTCTGACATCGCAGGCATTGCATGACACAGGTGCACTTACATACACGCAGGCAATACACTCATACACATAAAATAAAAAGAATAAATAAAATATTTAAAAAACCAAAACTAGATATACCACATAACCCAGCTATAGCACTCTTGAATATTTACTCAAAGGACTCCAAGTCAACATCACAGAGATGCGTGCACATCGATGTTTATTGCAGAACTGTACACCTTAACTAGGTTATGCAACAACCTAGATGTCCCCAAGCAGAAGAACAGACAAAGAAAACATGGTGTGGGATTTTACTCAGCCATAAAGAATAATGAAGTTTTATCATTTGTGAAACATTAGATGCAAAGGAAGATAACCATATTAAGCAAACTAAGTCAGCCTTAGAAAGACAAATACTGAATGTTTTCTTTCATATGTAGACTCTGGATTTTATAGATACATAGAGTCATACATGTATAAGTTAAGCTGTCTAGGGAACAAAGGGGACTAATTGGAGGGAGGAAAGAAGAGTAGAGGAATCGGGAGCAGGACGAAGGGATGTGCTCGATGCACTACATACGTCTGTGAAAACGTTCCTTCAAAACCCAGTACTATGGTCAATGTACACACAGCCACTTCAAAAGTTATTTTGAAAAAAATCAATTGAAGACAAAAGTAATATGAAGACTTCAAATGCTTTCAGATGTGCAAAGAGACTTGAAACTTAAATCACTCCGACAATTAGGAAGTTTACTGGCTAACAGACTTGAAAATGCAGAAATGGGGGAGGTTTCAGGGCAATCCATTTGGGAGCTTGATTCCGCTCCATCTCTTCGTTCTGCTTCAAAGTGTGGCCTTCTCTTTCGGTGTGGGAGAAGACGGCTGTGGAAGTTCCAGGACCAACCATGTTCAGAGGAAGAAGAGAGACTGGCTCTTTCTGTGGGTCTCTCTGGGGAAGGAGAACCGTACGGCTCAGCCTCCAAAGACTTGTTCACGTCTCCTTTGTTGTCATGGAGTAGCAGGCTCATTTCTGAATCCGACATTGGCAAAGAGAATGGGATTAGAATGGAGCTGAGGGTAGAAGGCTGAACCAAGCCGGCGTTCTACAAGGAGAAACTAGGTGGCCCAGAGCGGCAAGCTCTCTGCAGACCCTGAGAGTCAGTTGCTGAAAGGGTGATTTGTACAGACATGAATCCTGACGTGATGCTTTAGAATGTGCTCTTAAACACAAACCATCAAGCATGGTGAAATATGATCAGAAAAATAAGAGAAAGAAATAAACTGCACCAAACAAAACCAACACAAATCTCATAATGTAAAGTCATCCAATTTCTGCCTCTGAGGAACATCTTGACCACCCAGTTACTTTCCTCCTCCTTCAGCGCCTGCCTGTGCTTCTCCACCTGCTGTCTCACCTTAGCCAGGTACTGCCTGTGGGCTTCCTGGTAGTCCCTGTGTTCTCCTTGGTTCAGAACCTGGGCATCAAGGAAGAGGCCATTGCTGTAGAAAGAGTCCTTACATTCCTGCTCCAGATGCTCTACCAGGGCCATGAGCTCCACCAGCTGCCCCCGCTGCTCCGCCCCTGTGGTCCGGTTGTTGAAGGCACAGTACCTCCTTCCACACTCCTGGACAAGGCGCTGAAGGTTTTGATTGTCCGTGTGGACCACATAATCATCCAAGGACTCATCAGCTAGATCTTCCTTATGGGTGAAGAGGACGATCATGTGCTTCATGGCCCCTGCCCCAAAGATCTCCTTCACCCTCCTCACTGCCATGGTGTCCTGAGCCGTGAAGCGCCCCAGCTGGGTCACCAGCAACAGCACATGGGGCCCTGGGGCACACAGCTGGTAGCAGTCTCCGATGTCCTTGTACATCTCTTGGGCCTTTGACTCAAAGATGGAGGGTGTGTCCACCACCAGGATGGTCCTCCCGTTCCATGTGCCTGTCTCTCTCTGGCAGGTCCTGGTCACTGACTGAGCTCCTAACTTGGACACAAATGCTGGTCGGCAGAGGATGCTGTTCCCTGTGGCGCTTTTCCCGCTGCCAGATTTGCCCACCAGGAGGATCCTCAACTGCGGTGACCCTGGAGTAGAGCCATCTTCATCTCTGCCTGCTGGAGTACAGAGAAGTTCATGTCCAGGAAATACGTCATGGAGAGGAGGACCAAAGGCTGACAGGAACTAGCATCCTAAACCAATTAGCTCCCATCATCCTAAACCCTTTGCTCCCATCACTGGACACCCACATGTAGGGAATAAAGGCATTGGCCCAGGGTTTGTCAGAAATGTGTCCCTGCTGACCGAAGAGTTCCAAGCATCTTTTCCTGAGGAACTGTTGCTTTTTACCATCCCTCCAGGACCCTCTTTCTTTCCAAAGATGGGGGGCACAGGCTGACACAGGATGCTTGGGGCTTCCCAGCTAGTCACTCAGCTGTCTGACCCTTAACTTCAGCCCCTCCCATACTTCTCTGGTCTCTAGTTTACAGGATAGCAGGGTTTTATCTTGAGGAACTTGCCCTCATTGAGGAGAGTATGACAGCCAAAAGTCAATGTTTGATTACTTGGGAGATGCATTTGCCTTGGGTGCCTGGCAAGAAGTTTGTCCCCAGCTAGGCACTAGGCAGTGGTCCTTGCTTACTGAAAAGTGTTCCGCTCAGTACAGCCTCCTTACCTGCGGAGGAGGCACCTCCTTCACTCTTCTGGAGCTCTTCCATTTTTTTCTAGATGGGAAAACATACAAAGATTGATCTTGCTGGATTTGGATATAATATGCAACACCAAGCATCTCATCTTGTAGAGAAGGACATTGAGGAAAATAAAGAAGGAGGAGGAAGAGGAGGAAGAGGAGGAGGAGGAGGAGGAAGAGGAGGAGGAAGAGGAGACCTGCTGAGGACATGCACACTAAGCAGATTAGCTGAGATGGGAACCTAAGCCTGTTGGCTCTCGGATATTCTCAGGGTGGACTGAGCTTCCTGCTGATGAGCATACAGATGGCCCTGAGCAACCCAAAGGAGAAACCCAAGAAATGGGTACATGCAATGTGATCACATGGGCATGCTGATAGTCACTATAACTTGTCTCCAACTGACAGGGTAACTGAAGTAGGCTGTCTACCCAGAATAACACACAAGCTGGTGTCAAGACAAAATCACAACTCTCAACTCAAAACGGGTAAGAGTTTAACCTGGAGCAAAATATGAATGACATGACCCAGGAACACAGATTTAGGCTACCCCAAATTCCATGCTCTTACTTGGTTTCACCAGAACAAAGAAAACCATAAATCAAGACCTTCCTAGATGCTTTAGCCCCTCCATTGGCAGAAAACACAAATGAAGAAATAAGTTTGGGATTCTCTTAATTTAGATGCTGAATGCCAAACCCCAGCTTCTATCAAACAGTTCCCAGTTACTTATTTATAACTTGCTCTGAGAGTGTTTTTAGCTCCAGGAGGAACAGCAGCACCTTCCTGTGTCTTGGACTCTGTCTGTATCCAGTCCAGTGGAAATGACTCTCATCTGGTTTGCAAAGCAGCCCAGGTCACACACAATTCAGATAAGAATTAACCAAGCCGAGGAGGCAATTCTAGTTATGTGTCTCAAGCTCTGCTTTTACATCCAAATAGGGGCTGAGTTCCTGCTTGGAGACCTGTCGTCCTGAATCCAAGGAACGCTCAAAGATGTCAGTCTGTGTCAGCTTGACCAGCCGATGCCCAGCAATCATATCACATACAAACGCAGGTGCTACCATGAGGGTGGTGTGCAGTTTACCCTCCACGATGGGGTAGCCCCATCCAATCAGGCAAAGACCTTAGGCCAAAACTGAGAGTGAAGAAAGAATCCTGCTCAAGAATCCTGCAGGGCTCCCTCCGGCCCGAGGGTCCAGCTTCCAGACACCTGCGGAGTTGGAACTTTATGCTTTCACGTCCCCCTCACCCCAGCCACATGAGACAGTCCCTAACAAAGTATCTGAATTCTCTACCCTGTTGTTTCTTTCTCTCTGGAAAAGTAGAAGATATTCAGAGCTCAGCCTCCGCAGAAGCAGAGACCGCGCAAGCCGGACCCAGTTCCCAGCTTCGGCCCATTCCCTTTGCGGAGGGGACAGGAAGGCGGAGCGGTTGGAGGTGAGACCGCGGGGTAGACTGGGCCGCAGTAATTTGTAGGTTCCAGCTTCCCAGCTTTGCAACGCACACGATTTTGACTCAAGAAGCCGTCTCGCGGGTGCTGTCCCCGGGTCCCCTTGCGTGGTGGACTCCAGCAGGGCAGGAGCTCCCGGGAATGGGCCGGCAGGGCAGGGTCCAGGGTAAAAGACTGGGGAGGCCTTTGCCACAAGGAAGGAAAGAACCTGCCTGCGCAGCCAGCTACAGAAAGGGGTGGGGAAGACGATACCGATATTCCCAGATTCAGATCCAAGGGACCCTGGAGCCCTGTGCTGCTCTCCCCTCCTGTGAAGAAACTCAGACTTTGGGGAGTTGATGAGAATCCAGAAGGAGCAGCAACTGCGGATGGAAGAGCTGCCACGGTGACATACCACAGCTCCCTGGGTGGCTTCCCGGGCCCTGCACCCTCACCCTAGGCCAGTGGGAAGGGGTCACTCTCATGCCAGCCTGTTGGCCCTCCGTGTCTCCCCTGCTGAACTACTCACACGATAGGTTTGGCCCAGTGACTGGTAGCAGGTCATTTCCCCCAAAGTGAGACACTGCTGCTGTCTCAAAGTCCAGCCTGAGCAGAAGGAGAAGTGAGAGTCAGGGCCGGAGCATTGCGGTTAGCTCATTTCTCAGGACTTCTTGGTTAAATCTCTCTCTCTCTCTCTCTCTCTCTCTCTCTCTCTCTCTGATACACACACACAGGTAAAGCTATACCTCAAAATAAACAAGAAAGGAAGAAGCCTTATATCCTAGGATCTTTGAGGTCATTTTTTCCTGCCTTTTTAAAAAATGTTTTATTTTTATTATGCTTGATGATGATGGGAATCATCGGGGTAGTTCATGCCCGTTAATGAGTCCCTGACTCCGACTGGGTTGGTCAAGCACCTACGGCCCCTTCCTGGAAGACGAGTACTGTGCAAACTTCAAACCGCTCACAGAGCCAACGTTACATCTCCTGCCTCAGCATAAACCCCCCAAGTCACGAGAAGCAATGATGTACAGCCCTGGAAAAGTCCAACAGCCTCCAGACACTTACCACAGCCTGGCTCAGCAGCCCTGGAGAATCAATTTAGGAAGTACACAGCCCTTCTCACTCCTTGGACACTCCTGGTAGGAAGGAAATCTCTAAAAGTTCACCACTCCTGAGTCCTGGGAGGGGAATTGAGCTTGTCAGTTTGGGGTAGAAAATGTGCTGACATTCCACAAACACTCCACAAACCCTTGGGGAGCATCCTAAGGACCCCAAAATCTCTGACCTCCACTGCTTTTTCTAAAATTAATACAACGATCAAGCGCTTTGCCATTTAGGTTGACACCAGTTGTTTTTGGTAGATTTAAAGAAAAGCAGGAGAAAGAACACACACACAGACACACAGACACACACACACATTACCTGATAGGCTCTGGAAGATCTTGCCAGGTCTACAGAAACTGTGGAGCCATTGTTTTTGGTAGATTTAAAGAAAAGCAGAAGAAAGAACACACACAGAGACACACACACAGACACACAGACACACACACACGTTACCTGATAGGCTCTGGAAGATCTTGCCAGGTCTACAGAAACTGTGGAGCCATCTCCTGCTTCTCCTAGCAGCCTCTCATACCTGTTCTAGTCTCCGGGTGTAAGAAGTGAAAAACAGCTCATAAAATCTGTCTACTGGGGGAGAAAGATGGTGTCCTGTAGGAGACAGGAAAAGGGTGGTATGTGTGGGTTTCTTTGCAAAGCCGTCCTCAGAGGGTGACTATGACGAAGGCAGCCGGAGGAAGAGGTTGCTTTTAAAATAACAGTTCAGTTTCCCTTTCTCTACCACATGGCTGCAATGCATTTGTGCAGAACACATTCTCTATCAGAGCCAAGACAGCCCAGAAGCCCACAGACATCTGGGTCAGAGAGCCTCCCAAGCCTCCAGCTGCCTTCCTCTGGCCCAGGCAGACAACATACATCTCCCCAGCCCCACCATTGACCCCTGCCCTACAAAGGTAGCTTCTTAGAATTCAGATGGCAGCCAAGCCAAAGGTGGCTCTCCAGGGCTCACGGGGCAAGCAGTAGATACCACACTTGAGCCAGTCTCTGGTTTCCTCTGGGTTTTTTTTTTTTCTGCTCTAAATGGGGGAGAACCAGAGAACCAGAGCTGGTAGGTTTTCTCACCCTGAGAGACTTCATTTCCCTGGGATCCATGGAGCTGTCTACTCAACCACTGGCATGATTTAAATGAAGCAACAAGCACTTAATGGGGAGGCTCCGATGAGGAGGTCCCAGGTTCCTCCATGCCACCTACTGGGATCTTCAAAGCGGGGAGGGGATGAGTGGATCCCTCCTCTGGAGACATTTCCAGGTGCCCCACAGTGTGCACATTTGAGTTCAGATAAATTCTAAAAAGAAAGTCTATGCAGACATGGGATATAAATTATTCCTGGATCCCAGCTTAATGCAGCGTGGAGGGCAGTTACAATGCAGCAACACACAAATCACATTTTGGAGTGAAAGCCAGGCTGAACTTTCAAAAGAAACCCATCATAATAAGGCAACTTTAACTTTTCAAATAATAGAAGGTATTATATTGAATGAGCTGGAGGCTTTGACTTTGCTCCATTTGCAATCTAAAATGCTCTGATCGCTTATCTCTGCCAACTAACAACTCAGCTCTTAAACAAAAATCATTGTTGTGTGCACATTTATTAGCTCTACATGGGTGTATCATGAATATGTTTCTACCTGAGGCCAGGTTATGAAGCTATCTCAGAGTGTACTTTATAAATACTTGCTACACAAGAAAGGGATGCTGGTCAAAGATTCAGAGTCACTCAGTCTCACTGGGCCTTCATGGAGAAGGTGAGGATGGGGTTTTAACAGCCTAACACTTGCAGACTGATACTCACAGGTCCACAACACAGATAGGAGTCTATGATCCTTGTCCACAACTTGCTGTGCATTAGAGAGAATGCAAATTTAAAGAAGCGCATCGATTCTATCTTCAGTCCTGGCTGTCGTTGCTCTCTGGGCACACATGCGATGGCCATGTATTTGGATCAGTTGAATAAATGCCTTCCCTTTAAGCATATTCATATACCTAACTGATTATTTTTGATAAGATATATATTCACATATATATGTATATATTTACTGATTCCTAGAAGCCTTGTGTTTTACAGATGCAAAATATTAACTACACCGTAGTCTACCCATCCAGTCTTCTGAAGCTCCATGTCCTCCCATAGTCAGGGTTCCATGGCTATTTGGAACTCCTTTCTGTCAGCGTCCTCTGCATCCTGGCCTTCAAAGCACAGGTGCATCCACCTGCTTGTTAAAGAGCTAACAGCAGTAAGGAAATGGGGACACTGTTCTCCTGTACCTACAGAAAAAAAACCATCAAACATTATTTCTACAAGAGGCTGGAGCAATCTGTAAGTCAAAAATTGTATCTCTGTCCTATGAAAATAACTCTTCCTCTCTAAAACTATGGTTGCACATTTGGCAATGTCTTTCCTAATACTAAGACGCTGATATTTATAGAATTTCTTAGGCAAATCCTAAGGGAATTACTGGTATAGTCTTCTTCCACAGACATGTCAGTGATAAAGCAATATAGTGAAAGAATTGGAAAAATCTCATTTAAGTTCATAATAAACTAAGTAAAATACTTGGTAACTGTTGTCAATGTCTTGCAAACACCGCCCCCTGCTGGTCATCTCTTAAATTTGCTTGCTAACCCCCCCCACCCCCCAGCCCTCAATCTGGAAAAATTAACAAATGCTTTGGGGCTTTTGTTTGTTTGGGCCTTTGTGTGTGTGCATGCCTGGGGAGAGACCAAAGGAGGACCGGCTGAAGGTGTCTTCCTCTATCACTCTCTACCCTATAGACAGAGTCTCTCATTCAACCGGTTTCAGCTAGGCCGGCTGGCCAGGGAGCTGCCAGGATCCACCAGTCTCCTCTGCCAGATGCTGAGGTTACAGGCACACACAGCCATGCCTGGCTTTTTACATGGCTGCTGGGGATTCGAACTCAGGCTCTCATGCTCACACAGCAAGTGTGTTTACCCACTGAGCCATCTCTCCAGCCCCAATAAATGTCTTCTTTATGACTTCTGTTGTTCTAATAAAGCCCTCCTTTCTAGTTAAGATTATTACTATGCCCCCCAACAATCCAAACATGGATGCCTATGGTAGCTTTCTTCGTTCACAGCTGCTTCAGCATGAAAGCAACCCAGATGTCCTTCAGCAGGCGAGCAGATATAAGCTGGTACATTCAGGCAACAGAATTTTATTTAACATTTTTTAAAAAGTGAGCCATGAGATGCCTCAGAGGAAACTTGCAGTCATATTGCCAAGAGGAAGAAGGCAATAGGACAGGCCCTGTACTGTGCAATTGCAACATTCTGGAAAGACAACATCAAGGAGATAGTGAAATGATCATCTGTTGCCAGTGGAATATTCTGTATGACCTGGGGGTTCAGGCCACAGTACACTTGTCAAGAGCCACAGACTAAAACACCAAGGGTGGTGACCCCCAGTGTAAAACTATAGATTTTAACTAATAAAATACATGAATATCATCTCATCAGTTGCAACAAATGTGCTACAGCAATGCACAGTATTGTTGGCAGGAGAAAGAAACTGGGGGCCAAGGTGAGCCTGCACTTCCACTCAGTTCTTCTATAAACCTAAAACTGTTTCTTTTTAGTAAAACCTATTGATTGAAAACACAGAAGAGGAGGCTGAGGAGATGGCTCAATGGTCAAAGCGCTTGCTGTGCAAGCCGAGGACCTGAGTTTGAACCCCCAGAAACCCATGCAGATACCACATGGGTGTGGCAGCCCACTTGTAATTCCAGGCTCAGAAGGTGGAGATTGGATCCCCAGAGCAAGCTAGCCAGAAAGACAGTCATATCTAAGAGCTATGGGTGGAATGACAGACACTGCTTCAATCAAGGTGGGAGAGTGAGGGAGGGTGATCCTGACACCAACCGCAGGTCACATGTGCACACACACACACACACACACACACACACACACACAATGGAAGTAAAGAAAAAAACATAAAGAAAGCTGAAAGGACATAAGACCAGATAAGACTGGTCAAAAGCCTATGAGAGGAGGCGAGACCAACAGAGAAGACAGAAAGGAGAAGACAGGATGGGGGAGGGGGGAGAGGAGGAGGGGGGGAGGGAGAAGAAGGGTTATTTGCATATGACAAACTCCCTCCCCTGTAAGAGCTGTCACCAGCTAACAGAGATCTACATGTATGTGATCCATATACATGTGATCCATACAAAGAGGTGGAATAAGCGCAAATGATGACGCAGGCTGATCCTAACATGAGACACAGGCAATTCTTTCCAAGGCTATCCATTGTGACTTACATCAGACTGAAGGCTTTCTTTCCCTCAGCACTCTCCAAACACTGTTTTCCTTATCTGGTTGCTTGAGGTTGATGTTTTGTTTTGGTTTTGTTAAAACCTGCCTATGGCTTTTCTCCGTCTCTCATCTAATTCATGATAGATAAGTAGATAGGTAGGTAGGTAGATAGATAGATAGATAGATAGATAGATAGATAGATAGATAGATGATAGATAGATAGATGATAGATAGATTAGATAGATAGATAGATGATAGATAGACGATAGAGAGATAGATAGATGATAGATGATTAGATGATAGATAGATAGATAGATAGATGATAGATGATAGGTAGATGATATAGATTATAGATAGATAAAAGATTATAGATGATATATAGAGATAGATGATAGATAGATAGATTATTGATAGATTATAGATAGATAGATAGATAGATGATAGTTAGATGATAGATATAGATACATACATACATACATACATACATACATAGATGATTGATAGATAGATAATGATAGATGATAGATGATAGATAGATAGATAGATAGTAGATAGATAATGAAAGATGATAGATAGACGATAGATAGATAGATTATTGATAGATAGATTATAGATAGATAGATAGATAGATAGATAGATAGATAGATAGATAGATAGATAGATAGATAGATAGATAGATAGATAGATAGATAGATAGATAGATAGATAGATAGATAGATAGATAGATAGATAGATAGATGATAGTTAGATGATAGATATAGATACATACATACATACATAGATGATTGATAGATAATGATAGATGATAGATGATAGATAGATAGATAGATAATGATAGATGATAGATAGATGATAGATAGATAATATACATTATAAAATGGAGATAGATAGTTCACAAAAACATATAAAACATACATCATGGCAGGGTAGTGGGGCACTGACATATTAGAGCCTTAAATTATGTGTGAATAGGCAGGGTTTTACTTAATAATATGCTGATTAATTGAAATGTATAACTCCTAGGGTTGGAGAGAAGGCTCAGGAGTTAGGAGCACTGCCTGCTCTTACAGAAGACCTAGTTCCAGGGGAACCTGACACCCTCTTATGGCCTCCTCAAGCATTGCATGACATGGATGCACTTACATAAATGCAGTCAGTACACACGCAAACATAAAATAAAAATAACAAAATAAAATATATGACTCCTATACCAATGTCTAAAGTTTTTTAAAGAGGTACAAATAATAAGTTAATTGAAA